ACCCGAGAGCATTCGGCCTCGCCGAGGAGTCGCCTGCAACTGTGGTAGACGACCTGGCAGCACCCCTGCCTGCGATCCATGCTTGCATGGCAGATGCCCCTCCTTCGCGTCTGCGACTGAGCTGGCGCCCTTCGGAACGCCGCCCCCCGCCCTTGCGGGGGGGCGCCCCTGGGCGCGCGCTCCCGAGGGCCGCGGCGACTGACGCAGACTGGCCGCCACTTCCTTCATAACCTAACAGCGAAGACTGATAGGTTTCTAGTAGGGTCGAAACATCATGACGCCCCAGGTGGGCCTGGGCGCGATCCGGGGGAGAATGCCGGGGGGATGCCGGGGATTTCGTTTTAAGGACACAGTAGCGCACTTCGTGGTCTTCGAGTTCCCAGAACTCCATTCCTGGGTATGAAATTGACTGCCCGGAGCCAACAGTAGGCCACTTCGTGTTCTTCGTGTTCCCGGAACACCACCCCCGGGCCACATTTTGAATGCCCGGAGCCAACTGCAGGCCACTTCGTGTTCTTCGTGTTCCCAGAACACCATTCCCAGGCCACATTTTGAATGCCCGGAACCAACTGTAGGCCACTTCGTGTTCTTCGTGTTCCCAGAACACCATTCCCGGACCGCATTTTGAATGCCCGGAACCAGCTGTAGGCCACTTCGTATTCCTCGTGTTCCCAGAACACTATTCCCGAGCTATCGAAAGCAATGACTCGTTCGAAGCAACATCTTTTTGATAGCGGCGTCTCGTTCGGACAGAAATAAGCTACTCGATAGCAGTGTCTCGTTTGTACTATTACTGCTACAAATCCTTCTACTCCTACTGCTAGTGGCATTACTGCAACTACTGGCATTGCCACTGCGACTGCGACTGGGGCTGCCGTTGCCACTGCGACTGCCATTGCACTGCGACTCCGAGTACACCAGAATTCTACAACCGGAATCCTACATGAATCTGAAGGGGAATGCTTCCAGATATGCTCATGCACATCGCTGTTAGGTTGCTTTGCCGGGAAAACTTTTTATATATAGAACAAAAAAACGCGTTCCGCGCCCCAGGGGCCCGCGAGGCACGGACCAGAGGCTGCGGCATAAGCCCGCTGGGCCTGCAGCCATGGCGGGAAACGGCCAGGAAGGGACATACCTAACTCATTCGCGGACTGGCTGGCAGCCGCCCTACTGCCCACCCCCGACCGCAGTCTTGCCGTCGTAGCGCCCCCCCCCCCACGTCCTCGACGTCGCTGCCATGCTCGGCCATGGCCCTGGCCACGCACCGCCGAGCCAGAGCTGCGCGCCGAACTGGCCTCTCGTCTGGTGCTTCTGGCGCCCATCATCCTCGCACCCCGAGTCGTGCAAGCACTCCGCCAAACTGCAGCTGAGCTCTCCATCATCCGAGGGGCTGTCCACCGATGAGGAGTCATCCCCCTCCTCATGCATGACTCTTGCCGTGGGACTGCATGCGAGTCCCACCGCCTCCTCGAGGCGGTCGCCCCACGTCGCGCTCCTTCCGAGCCAGCTGCGCGGCTCTGGCATCGAGGCCTCGCCCAGCCCCCTGCCTTCATTTCCCGGTGGCGAGCGGATCTCGAGCATGGTCACAGCGCATGCCTCGTCTATCTTCTTGACCTCCCTCTGCGCCTGGCTGTCGGGCATCCCCGCTTCCTCGATGTTGGCCGTCGCGCTCTCCTGAGGCTGGCACATGCGCGGGTCCGCTTTCCTGTCGGCCCCGCTGGGCATCGCATGCGTCTGTGAGATCGGACTCGGCTCCATCGGCACTGGCGTCACCTCCACCGTCGCGGTCATCTGCCGCTGGGCGGGGGCTGGCGATGCCGGTGAGCAGCCACCCCCCCACGGTGTAGGGCACCCGCCCACAAGCGCTTCAAAGTCCACATGCAGCGGGCTCTTCGACGGTGCAGTCGGCGTCGCCGCTGCTCCCGGCGCCCCCGTGGTTGGCGTCCTGGGCGCTGGGGAAGCTGCCTGAGCCGCCATCGGCAGCGAGCTCGCAGGTCCAGCCCCCGCCGCCGCTGCTGCCGCCGCAGCCGCCTCTCGCAGGGCCATCTCCCTCTGCGGCGCCTCCTCCTTCACCTCCGCGTGAGACAGCGCCTGCGCGTGCACTGCCTCCGCGGTGCTGCAAGCATGCCGCATGCCTCCCATTTGCGGCGGCCTCGGGGGGAATGCTGCTGCCTGCTGCCCGCCAGGCGGCTGCGGATGCATTCCGCTGGCCGACTGAAGCCCCATCGCCTGCATCACGTACATCATCTGCCTGTCCTGCTGTTCCATATCCGCGATCATCTGCTGGATCATGGCCGTCATGAAGTCTGGCGCAGCACCAGGCGCTACCACGCTGCCTGGTTGCTGTCGTTGCTGCTGGGCCTGGGCTGGAAACCGCTGCCGCGGCTGCTGCTGCAGCCCACCACCTCCGCCACCGACCCCCATGTTCACGTCCTTCGCGTGGTCCTCTGCCTCCTCCTCTCCGCGCTGCCCCTCCAGCTCCGTGATGTACTCCTTCAGCCGGACCAGCTCCTCCAGGATCTCGTTTTCCTGCTCCTCGAATGTAGCCATCCTCGCCCTCGTGTTCTTCAATCTCTCGGCCGCCTTGTCGCGCTTGGCCCTCACCTCCGCCAACTGAGTCTCCGTTGGCATGGTGGCGCCCACCAAATGCATGTGAGTCCCTGCAGCTTCAGGCTTCAGGTCGTACCGGTCGGCGTCCTCGTGTTCGTTCGCCCTCCTCGCGGACATCGCCAACTCCGGGACCTCTTGCATCGTGCGCCTCGTCTCGTCCTGCTACCTCTTCTGCGCAACAGCGTCCCCCATCGGCGGTCCCTTGAAGCATCGTAATCCGTCGCCTCCAGCTTCGTCATCGGGACAATGCGGGCTACGTGCTGCTTCGTCTCTGTGTCGGGTTTCGGTTTCTCCCTGCGTCGGCTCTCGCTTCGAACCCTCGCACGGCCCTGCGCTTCCACCCGCTGCTGCTGCGGTCTCGAAGCTGCTCTCGATGACTGCCCTCCGCTCAGACGCTGCTCGACGTGCACCCCGGACAGGCACCTGGCTTGGTGCGCCTTCACGTGCCTCCCGCACGGGCAATCCCACGCGCCCGCTGGGCGCCCCATCCCTCGGGACCGGCCCCGTTGCGCTGACTGTGGTCCGCCAGCGGACCCCTCGCCCTGCTGAAGGTGAGCAGGACGCGGGTTGCGTGCCGCTGGGCCCGCCTTCTGCGTGCCAGGCAGGCTCTCTCACGGATCGGGTAATCGCGGCGCCGTGATGTGCGCGCCGTGATGTACGCGCCGGACGTTCGGCCCGTCAGAAACAGGCTCTCTCGACCTGAGGATCGGGCCACCTTGGGCCAAACGTTATCCCCCTCCTCCTCCTCCTCGTCCTCGTCCTCCTCCTCCTCTTCCTCCTCCTCCTCTTCCTCCTCGTGTTCCTCTTCCTCCTCCTCCTCCTCCTCCTCCTCCTCCTCCTCCTCCTCCTCCTCCTTCTCGTCCTCCCCCTCCTCCTCCTCCTCCTCCTCTTCCTCCTCCTTCTCCTCCTCCTCCTCCTCCTCCTCCTCCTCCTGCTCCCGGGGCCCCTGGGAGGTCACCCAAAGCACCAAACCCCGACGCTTCCGGGGGCCCGAGGGAGCTCCTCCTGCGCGCCCAAAAAACAATCCCAAGGACGAGCGAGCCTGAACCAGCCAAGTCGCATGGCGAGATGAAACTTTGGTTTTGTGGGGACTGCGTGTGGGCCCGCACTCCGTTGGACCTCGAGCAGCCCGCAGGGCGGGCGAGGTCCAGCCTGGACGCCCGCAGGACCGCAGTCCGCTGGACCTCCCAGGATCTCCTGGAAGTGGCCACAATTGCGCAGCTGGCACCGCCCAAGGAGGTCGAGGTCCCAACTAAATGTGGGTGTGGGCGACAGCTGCGCAGTTCGCAACCGCCAGGGAGCGGCGAGGTCCCGACTAGATGCAAGTGGCCCTCGACTCCGCTGCACCGACCTGGATCCCGCGAAAGTGGCGACAGTTGTGTAATTGACAGCCCCGCAGCGAGCGCGAAAACGAGTTCCACTCCGCACGGCCCCCTAGAAGCCCGAGCAGGGAAGCCGCTGGAGGAGAGACACTCAGGGGACGGAGGGCGAAGTCGTGCGAGGGCCCCCAGTGGCTGAACATTGCCCCAAGCATATCCTAACGTGCTGTGGTCACAACGAAGAGCAGGCGGGGCTTGAAGCTCGAGGGCCAAGGAAGGGGAAGAGGAAGAGGAAGGGAAGCAAATGGGGGCTTGGCTCAAGCCGTAACGGAGGCACACACACACGAGTGCGTCTAGCGGTGGTGCATGAGCAACTGAGACAACAGTGCACCAAACAATCACGGGACGGAACAACAGGGCAAAATCATCGCGTCGGTGCTTATGTATGTTTTTAGCTCTGTTTGTCTGAGAAAACACTACACCAAAAACACGGGGCGGAACAAAGAAGGGCAGCAACCTCGCATCGCTGCTTATGAGTGTCCGTGTTGCTGTCTCTCCTCGGGATGAATAGGAGGGGGTGAGCCCAGACTCCCGACGTCATGATTTTTCATAACGTCGACCCTCAGAGGTCTCGACCCATTCCCCTGAACCGGTGATCCATCCTGAAATGTTATGTGACGGTCCCGAGGGCCGGTCAGGGCTTGCAGGCCGAACAATTATGGCAAACCTCCCGTCATGATGTTTTCATTACCCGACGGGGTCTGGGGGGGGAAGCGAACCTCGCCATCCCAGGAGAACCCAGAATCGAATCGATAAATCGGATCGGCGATCGCCATGAATCGGATCGGCGGAAATCGGCAGCCGAGTCGGGAAAAGTCGAATCGGCGGAAAACGGCAGGCTAGTATGCGTCCAAGAAAAAATCGGAGCACACATCATAATCCGAATTCGAGTCGAATCGGAATCGGAATCCATCGAAGTCGAACCGACTCGAATCGGAGAAGTCGAAACGAGCCCTGGGGGGGGAAGCGAACTTCGCCACCCCCCGCGGCGTGCGCCGCCCCGGGCGCCTCAGCCCGCGCGGGGCTCCACGCGGCGGCGCGGACGCGACGCGGCGCGAGCCGCGTGGCGACCTGCTCGGCTTGCCCGCGGACGCGGAGCCTCGGCGGCGACAACGGGCGGGGGCCTAACAATCAACTCTCCTCCTCCTCCTCATCCGCCTCCTCCTCCTCCGCCTCCGCCTCCGCCTCCTCCTCCGCCTCCTCCTCCTCATTCTCCGCCTCCTCCTCCTCCTCCTCCTCGTCCTCCTCCTCGTCCTCCTCCTGGCAGGCTCTTGGGAGCGTACTTCGTGGCTCCGATAAGAGGGGGCCAGGAAGCCGCATTCGGCCAGACGGAAGAGGAGGAGGAGGACGAGGAGGGGGAGGGGAGGAGGAGGAGGAGGAGGAGGAGGAGGAGGAGGAGGCGGAGGAGGAGGAGGGCGGGGGAGGGAAGGAGGAGAAGGAGAAGGAGGAGGAGGGGGAGGACGAGAAGGAAGAGGAGGAGGACGGAGGCTCAGGAGTGCCGAGGAAACTGGAACGGGCTGGGTTGGGACGGCTTTCGACCGCGGATGTACAAACAGCGATTCTGAAGTCAGAAGTCAGCCTCCCAGGAGTTGGATCCTAACGGGGGAGCGCGAGGACAGATGGTCTTCTGCGTTTCTTATTCGTCGTTTCGACACTGTGCTCAAAGGGGGGGAAGGGGGGGGTCTGGCTCCGGACCTCTGCTGAATGCCACTGTTTGGAATCGCGCGTCCTACGGGGGAGACCTCACCTGCTCGAAATAGGCGCCCCAAACAGCCAAGATCTACTCCATGGAGGGGGGAGGGGGGGGAGGGCCGCGCCGATCGGCAAAACAATGCATAAGAAAACGATCACACGGGCAACGCTTACGTGGCTGTATGGAGGCATTCCTGGGAGTTCATCGAGGCGCGCATTGCAAAGGCTCGGCGTAGATCTCGGAGGACCAGCACCGAGCGGGGTGCCCGTTTCTCGCAAGGGCGCGGGGGCTTTCGAGAAGGCTTCTTGGAAGGCGAGGATCCCGGATCTGCGACGTCGCGTGTCTGTTTACACAACGTTGATCCCCAAAGGTCCAGACCCCGCCCCTCCGACCATTATTACATCCGGAATCGTGTTTGCACGGTCCCCAGGCCTGGCGAGGGCCCCTGGAGGCCCAAAATTGACAAAACACCTCCCGTCGTGAACTATTCATATCGAAGGGCGGTCGGCGTTGAAGGCAGGGATTTTCCAAGAGGCCTGACAACTTCCATGAGGGCGTCTTCTGGGGAAACCAAGCGGTACCGATACCGCTGCTCCACAGACCTCTCGCGGGGTGCGTGCTGACACGGCTCCCGGATGGAATCCAGCCGTGGTGACGAGGACCTTCCAGAACGATCAGCGACATCGTCAATTCTGCCTCAAATCGGGCATGTCCCCTCACAGGCGGATCTTGGAGGAAACGTATGAAATAGTCCAACAAACTCAATAATAGTCAGAACTACTAAAACAACTCATCCCCAGGCTATTTTTCAACAAAATAACTACTTTTAAATATTCCTCCTGTGGAGGGACACGCCCGACTTACCTCCTGCCTCGTCTGGCTTCTTGGCAGGCGGGGCTCTTGCAAGAGGCCCCCCTGCCCTCCTTGGGAAAGGCCGCACGCACCGCGCCGACCCTTTCTGCGCACCACGGGGGGCCTGCGGCGCAGATGGCCACAAGTAGCGTGGCAAGGCCGCGCGCCATCTCGGCACGCAGGCTGGCTCGAGGATCGAGGTGTTCGGACGTGTGCTTGGTCTCTTCGGGGGGGGTCTCCGCGGAGGCCTCCAGGGAGGAGGAGGAGGACGACGACGACGACAAGGAGGAGGCGGAGGAGGAGGAGGAGGAGAGGAGGAGGAGGAGGAGGAGGAGGAGGAGGAGGAGGAGGAGGAGGCGGAGGGGAGGAGGAGGATGAGGAGGAGAAGGGAGGCCTCTGGGGACCCCCACCCTCTCTCGTTTGGGTTACGTTGCATCCTCGGGGGGCCCTGTCTGGCCCTTTCGCGGCGTCTCTGCGTCGAATCCGTGTCGAATGCCACGCTGGGTTCGTCGAATGCGTGTCGAATCCGCATCGAGTCCACGCCAGATCCGCGTCGAGTCCACATCGAGCCCGCGTCGGGCCCCAAAAAGACACTAAGTTTGGGGGCAGGCGAGGTCCACCGAAGATGCAACACAAGCTGCGGAACATCGCGACGGGAGGTTTGTCGGCAGATCTCGGCCTCCAGGGGCCCTCGCCGGGCCACGGGGCGGTTAAAAGCGACTCGGGGGGGGAAGATACTGGCCCTCTCCAGACGTGTTTGTTGGCCTTTTCTGCGTGGGCATGCGGAGGGTTCCAGGGATCACCCACCCTCTGCTGTTACGAAGCAGCTCTTGAGAGGTATGCTAAAGAACGTTTGCGGGCGATCTAGCCCGATACCAGATGCCGGATTCAGCCTAGGACTTGGCCAAGTTCAATGGGATTAAGCCCGAGTGAGCGGGAGTATGGCAGGCTAGGTCGAATCTCGACCACGACGAATCTACTAGCGCCGATGCTGAATTAAACCTCCCAGGAATTGCATCCTAACTCCTGGGACTTCTGGGGATCTCAGTGACCTCCGTGGACCTCCAGAACAGCGGCGCCGAACCTTCGCCTCGTCCAAAAACCTCGACCTCGGCTTAAGGCGCAAAACGGGCGGAGCAGGGTTACTCGAATGTCAGCTGTTCCAAAAGGGTTGAGCCAAATTCGCACCCGATGGTCCCACCGTATGCAGGCAGGGTCGGTCCAGAAAGAAAGGCGTAGCCTATTCCCCTCAGTGGAGGCTGCTCCGACTCCGAATCCTGATGTACCAATGCTCCTGTGTGAGATCACGCGTGGAACACATCCTCTTCCTCATCAACATAATCATCATCCGCATCCGCATCCGCATCCGCATCCGCACCATCATCATCATCATCATCATCATCATCATCATCATCATCATCATCATCATCACCATCACCGTGATACTCGCCACCGTCGTCACCATTACCATCACCATCACCACAACAACCATCAGTAGAATCATCATCAACATCATCACCAACGTCATCATCAGAATCATCAAAATAAGGAACACCACCATGATCACCAACATCACCAGTAGCATGAGCATCTTCATCAGCATCACCATCAGCAACATCATACCCATCAGCAGGATCAGCATCATCCGCATAAGCATCATTACTACCATCATCATCGTCAGCGTCATCATGACCACAACCATCATTATACTCAGCATCATAATCGTCAGCATCGTCATCATCATGATCATCAACATCATCCGCATCTGCACTACCTTCATCAGCACCCTAAGCATAACCACCACCATGAACATACTTGCGAACATCATCATCATCGCCAGTATCGCCACCACCATCAGTATCATTCTCGTCATCGCCATCGTCAGCATGATCATTATCATCATCATCATCATCATCATCATCATCATCATCATCGGCAGCAACATCCTCATCATCGTCCAGATCAGTATCTTCATCATCGTCGTCGTCGTTATCTCATTATTCATCATCATTATCATCGTCGTCGTTACCTCATCATCCATCATCAGTAGCAGTTCCATTGCCACCATCACCAGTATCGTCATCATCATCCCCACCACCATCATCACCAACATAACATCACCATCGTCACCACCAGCATTATCCTCATCATCATCATCATCATCATCATCATCATCATCATCATCATCAACATCATTATCGGCAGCATCGCCCTCTTCATCACCATCACCATCATAATCATCATCATCAGCATCATCAACAACAGCATCATCAACATCAACCGCATAATCAGCATCATCAGCATCCCACCTCCCTCATTCCTTCTCCACTCCCTCCCCGTCCTCTCTTTCATCCTGTGCTTCACCTGCGACCTCCCTCCCTTCGTTGGTTTAGGGCGCCCCCGCCAATGACAAACCTCCTGCTCCCCGTGGCCCCTCCTCGCCGCCACAAGCCGCCCGTGTGCACCCAGCAGGGGGAGCGCCCCACTCCGATGGCAGCAGCTGCGACGGCACACGAACGTGAGTCAGCGAGGTGGTGGCGAAATGCGCGATGGAGGAGGAGCGGAGGAAAAAGGCGACAGACGAGACGAGACAGGAGGGAGGAGGAACAGGAGGACGCGGAGTGGAGAGGTAAGAGGAGGGAGCGGGAGGGAGAGGGAGGGCAGGAGGAGGAGGAGGAGGTGGGTGGAGGAAGAGCGTGTGCTTCCAGCGCCTCTAGGGCCTCGCCTCTGATGGCACCGTCCAGCACGGCGCGCAGGACAACAAGGCGCGGGCCCAGGGAGGCACCCGCACCAGGGCCGGGCGCCAAGCAGCTTGGCGAACTGAGGAAACGCGCGAGGCAGGGCCTCCTCCTCCTCCTCCTCCTCCTCCTCCTCCTCCTCCTCCTCCTCCTCGTTCCGCCTCCCCTGCCCCCCTCCTCCTCCTCACCCTTCGGTTCCTCCTGCCCCCTCCACCTCCACCTCCTCCGCCTCCTCCCCCCGCCGCCGCCGCTGCCCCCTCCCCACCCCGCCGCCGCCGCCTCCTCCCCCCGCCTCCGCCGCCTCCGCCTCCTCCGCCTCCTCCCCCCCGTCGTCGCCCCGCCGCGGCCGCGGCACCTGGCCCTCGGCCTTGCCTCTGCCCCCGCCCCCCTTCTGGCTCGCGCCCTCCTCCTCAAGGTAACTCCGAATGAACCTAGACCATGGGGGTTTAGATTCATAGGGTTCCGGGCGGGTGTGTAGCTATTTTCCGATGAATGAATACTGGTGCACATCACTTGGATTATGATCGATATCCCTTGGGTGATGGTGATGGTGATGGTGATTGTGCTGGTGATGATGATGGCAATGGTGATGGTCGTGATGGTCATGATGGTGGTGATGGTGATGGTGATGGTGATAGGTGATGAGGATGATGCTGCTGATGATGATGATGATGATGCTCATGATGATAATGATGATAATGATGATGGTGATGGCGCCTCCCCCCGCTGCAGAGCGTGACAGGACAGGGGTCATGCTTGCAACTTGCCACCGCTCGGACGTCCCCGTGCGTTCTTCGACTTCGTGCGCTTCTTTGTTCGCCAGGCTGCCCAAGATGCTCCTCGATGGCAGGTGGCCGAGAAACAGTGCACACGTCCATGCGATGCCAGGGTGAAGGAACTGTGACTGTACGTCGGCTCAAAGGCGAATGGCGGCAGGGCTGTGCAACAGAGACGGAGGAGGAGGGGGAGGAGGACGTGGAAGGACAGAAGGACGAGAAGGATGAAGAGGAGGACCGGTGCAAATAGAAGACGCATCAACAATTTTGCAATCCTCACTCCCTCCAAGTTGCCGTCCACAGGTCCCAGCAAGGATCTGCCCTCACTGATGGAATTGCACCGTTGGAAAAAAGCATTGGAGATCTTCCAACGTGCCACAATACCGATCCTGGGACTTCAGCGCGGCGAAGCAACGATGCAGACGCGCCCTTGAGATCCTGAATCGCGCCCAAACATCATTCCTGGGATTTCAACACCGCGGATCAACGTCTCTGCCGCGACCTGTGAAACCTACGTCGGGCCAAAACCCTTTTTTTTTCTCAGGCGTCAACCACCATAATCCTGTATGAAATGGGTAATTCTTCAAACGAGTGTGCGCTGCGCTCAGGCGAGAGCCACCTTTTGAAAAAAGAGCCGTCCTCTACGCGCGGATCTATTGAACATTTGATAAAACGAAATTGCGCGGCCTGTCGATAGCCACAGATTGGAAAGGGCCCGCCCGCCATCCGTGGAACTCTCGCGTGCTGGACGGAGAAGCATTGTGGGAAGGAGCCGCCCTCCGTCCGCACATGTCTTGCAAGCTGTCAGACGCCCGTGAGCGGCGCCGAGGCGAGAGACACACTTGAAAACAGGACCCGCCCTCCGCGCGTGAAGCTGTGGCAAGCTTCTCAGACGCATGCGCGCAGCGCTCGAACACCAGTTTGACAAGGGCCCGCCCTCCCTCCGCGATGCTCTTGCAGATTCTGAGCTTCGGGGCCACAAGCGGTGAGGAGGTCTCACGGGAAACGCCCGGACCGCCCTGCCGGCAAGTCTCGGGGTGCGGCAGGGAGCAATGACTTACAAGAAAGAGCCGTGAAGTCGGGTCTGTCCCTCTTCAGGGGAAATATTTCAAAATAGAAACACAAAATGTGAGGACGATGTTTCCATTATGTTTTGAATATGTTTGGGTATGTTTGGGATAGTTCTGATTTTGTCGCCCAAAATCTGCCTGCAGGGGGACATACCCGAGGCAAAAAGCACGGAGGCGCGACGCTGGCCAGGAAGGGAAGGGCGCCCCGTGAGGCCGACCACGGGCGCACCCGTGTGCGGGCAGTGCTTACATCCATATCCAGAGCGCCTTGGACTTTTTGGGAAGGGGTGTCGCAAGGCCGAGGCGCACTGGATATGTGCGCGTTTTTGTTAATTTGTTGTTCGGTGTTCGGCGTTTCGACGTTGGGCGGAAAGGGGGAGGGGAGAGGGGGTCAGGCTCCGGACCTGTGCAGCAGTGCGCCCCATGGGGGAGACTCCACCCGCTCGAAAGGCGCCGACAAACTGCCAAGATCTACTCCATGGGGGGGGGGTGCGAGGGCCCGCGCCGATCGGCGAAACAATGAATAAGAAAACGATCACTCTGGACAAAAAAAACGAGCATTTTGGGGCCAGATGTTTATCCACATCCGGTGCGCCTCCGCTTTCTGGGAAAGAGGGCCCAAAACTCCAAGACGCGCTGGATGTGGATAGAACTGCTGGCAGCTTTGTGCGCTCCGACGGAGGAGGACCACGGAGGAGGAGGAGGGGGGGGCGAAGCGGCCCGAGAGCCCGCGGCGCACGGAGGCCCTCTCGGGGCCGCGGCTTCACTACGCTTAAGTCGGGCATGTTCTCCCACAGAGGGGTTTTGGACGAAAAACAAAACATGGTCCAAACATGTACCAAACATTGTCAAACATAATCGAAACATCGTCCCCCGATTACTTTTTGATCACTTTTCCATATTCCTCCTGTAGAGGAACATGCCCGACTTAACACTATGCAGGCGCCCCCCCCCCCTCGCTCTGGAAGGTCAGGCGGGGGGCAACGTGGCAGCAGTCAACGCACGATGGAGCCGAGGACTGCAGGAGAAGTAGCCTGATGAGGCGGCCTGATAAAATGGCCCCAACACAGCCACCGCGGGCCGAAAAAGGTTGCACGAAAGGTGCACGCTTCTCCATGCCCCGTTGTCTGCCCCTCACGTTGACGAACACCCGAGGAGGTTGCTAGGCTGATGATCAGGACTGGGGTGCCCCTTGGGTTCCTTTGTAGATGTCGTGACAAATGGACACTCTAATAATCCGATCGTTGAGTTAGAAGTATGTTTGGAATGTTTTGCAAAATGCTTTCAATATGTCTTAATCCTGTGCTTTTACATGTTGAAGCCATATTTGAAACATGTTTTAAACATTTGGAAGTTATTTGGCAACACGCATTGGTCGACTTCCGCAAGGCTGGTGATCAGGACTGGGATGCCCCCTGGCTTCTTCTCGCGCCGCCAGACTCCCCGCTGGGCCTCGCGCGAGAGGTGCCCCGGGAGGCCATGTGGACCCTCCCGGAAGAGCTGGCTGACCAAATCTCCGACCCCGTGACTTTGCTTGGCGGCGCGCAGAAGGGGGGCAAGGAGAGGGGAAAGAGCTTCTTAGAAGCACCCCTGCTTCTTAGAAGGCGCGGGCCTTGAGTGTAGATGTAATGCCGGCGCCTTCTAAGAAGCAGCCTCC